AACAAAAGAACAAAGTGAACACCTGTTTTAGCTAATTCATGGGTAGTTGTATTTGCACTTTCGGGGGCACCATAAAAATTTGACTTCCAACTCATCACATGGAGAAACCAAATCTTCATTGACGAAAACTAGTTCCTTAGGATAGTAAGGAGAGGGATTATTTAGATGAGTAACTATGGATTGATAGTTCAATTCAAAAACCACCTGAACCAAGCCTTTTTTTTTTGCTGCTTTCATTGCTTCCTCAAGAGCCAAAGCTTCTGCTAGTGGAGGGGAATCAATTGAGAGAGGACCACAATAAGCCCAACATCAACAACCAACAAAATCTCTCACCACAAAACCAAAGGAAGCCTTATTTCGAGCTTGAAAACCTCCATCAACATTCAATTTCACAAAAACCATCCGAGGGATGACACCAACAAAAAGAAGAAGGGCCAATACGACCCTCAGCTGAAGAGTTTTCTGATTTCTATTGTAAAAGCATAAATGTCTATGCTATCAACCTGTTCATGGCATTAATGACTGACAAATGATTTGTAAAAGAATTTTCAAAATAAAAATTGTTCCTATCTTTCTAATTTTACCATAAACCAACAACTAAGCAGATAATTGAGTCCACATGGTTATGAGAAAAAAAAACTTGAGAATTGATGAAGGGTGAATTGGCCCGACCTAGCGAAAAGGGGACACGTGGATACGACCTGACCAAGAGATGACAACTCAGCCTGGCAAGTTTAGTTCGCAACAATTGAGCTCGGGTATTCAGCCACCTCGGCATAAGGCTCACCTCGGCTTCAAGGCACCTTGGTATTCAATCCAATTCGGAACTAAAAGACCGAAGTACCAGCTCGGGGCCAACAACTCGAACCGCCACGTAACTGACTCCCGCATAACCAACTCCAAAGGTCTCTCCAACGGATCCCGAATCTCTTGAGATCACGATGAGCTAACAGATCCCGACTTTTCTGAGATTACGATGAGGATTCATCCTGACTCCGCTGGAGTCGGAAGTGGAACGATAAGCCTTACCTGTATACTGCTCCTTCGGAAGTGGAACGAACTCTATCTCCACACCCTGGATATCCCGGAGCTCTTTCGTGAGCTCCATGACTACTTCAGTATATAAAGGCACCAACCTCAATGGTGCAAGGTACGCGTGATTTTTCTACTCTCTAGCTCTCTAGCTCTCAAAGCTTTTCAGCTCGCATCAGTTTACTGACTTAAGCATCAGAGCGACCTCATCGGGTTAGCCACCCCCGATTCTCTGATCCTTTCTTGCAGATTCACCTAGCTCGCCACCCGACTGGAAGTCAGATCATCCTCCAACAGGGAGTAGTCAGGTCGCACTACATCAAGAACTTTAGCAAACCACACAACAAAATGGATTAGATGGCTTACTCTAAAACCCAGGCCTGATCTAAACCACATACACTTACTTCTTTTTCACACAACAGGAGAGCATGCATTATGGATTCTTTTTTTTTTCACACCTAAGACACATGGGGGATTGCAAAATCTTCCTTTTATGAAGGTTTTCATTCACTACGAGGTTGTTACTACAACATCTCCAAAGAAAATGTTTTAATTTTGGTTACACTGGGAGGTGCCAAAATAACCTTCAGAATGACTTCTCCTCAACAAAGTTACATCCAAAAGAGCTTAACTCACTCAGCTATTGGGAGGCAATATAATTGGCATATATGATTGAGAACTGGTCCAACTCAGTTCCTATCCAGATAGTTTATCTTCCCATGAGATCATGGGTAATCTGATTTAAATGATTTTCTTACAACATCATCAAGAAAAAAGTGCTTAATTGCTTGGGGGTTCCAAGATCTATTATTACAGTTAATTAGAGAAGAAACACATTGATTTTGAGTTGTTCTTAGAGCATGTCCCATTGGCTTGAGACCATCAATTCCTAGAACCCAATGATCATCCCATATGTTTATGAGATTTCCAGAACCAACTTTCCACAGGATACCTCTTTCAATCACTTTTCTTCATTCTCAAAATACATGTCCATCCCCAAGATTGCCCACACCTAGAACTAGCTTCAAGGAAGTGAGAGTTTTGGAAAATATTACACTTTCATCACCCTTTCCCATAAACTTTGGGAATCATGGCATAATCTTTGAGCATGCTTTGTTAGGAGTGCCATATTGAGAGTATGAGGATATCTAAAACCCAATTAACCTTTTTTTTTTCCATTACACTTTCCCTTCATAATTTCCTTTGAATTTTGGAGATGTCCTTACAAACCTTCATTGGAAACATAAAGTTGGACATGCGGTAAGAAGGAGTAGCTATTAGGACTGATTTTATCATAACCTCCTTTCTTGATTGAGAAAGGATTAAGTCTTTATAGCCAGTAGGTTTGAGGCTACTCTCTCAGTGATATAGTTAAAGAGTTGACATTTCCTCTTACCTATCAATGGAAAAGTCCCCATATAAATAGAAGGATTGCTCACTCTTTTGAAGTCAAGAGCTTTTCGAGATTAGCTTCTTAAACTTTTCATGTGCATTGGAACTAAAGAAAATCTCTAATTTTTCATAATTCACCTTTTGGCCAGAGGCTGCTTCATAGTCTAAAAGTGCTTCCAAAAGCTTCCCTCCTTCTCCGAGGTTTGCTGTTGTAAAATGAAACTATCATTTGTAAAGACAAGATGAGAGATCACTGGGGCTTGTCTATACACTTTGACACCTGAAATTGAATAATCCAGAACTAGCTCATTCAATAAAGAGGAAAACACATCAGAACAAATCTATACTATATATAAAAGTGGGAATGCAATGAGAAACTTTTTTGGATTAAAATTACCCTTTATTTCTTTGTTTGAGAAAGGGAATAAATGTCATTTTGTTACAGTTTTAATGCCAGTTTTTATGGCTACTAAAATGCCCATAATTGTGGGTTGAAAATGTAACTTCAATTATTACTTCCCACCTTATTTAATCATCTCTCATTAAATCTTATACTTAAATTATTAACTCTCATTTTCTCTTATTAAATCTTATATTTAAGTTATTTTTTACTAATAAATGCTACTAATTAGATTTATGTCAATATTTTTAACAACATAAACATGTATATTTTAAAACCGACTAAAAAAACCATTCTTTGTACAAGTGGTGGCTAAGAAATTCAACCATCCAAATCAAGTTGATCAACCTATGAAGTCATATTTAGGTAATAAAATTTTTAAAATAGGAATAAATATCAAAAATTACAAAAAATGTAGAAAAAATTAGACACAATTATGATATTTTTATTAATCAAATTAAAACAGTAAGGATTAATCAAATATAAAAATACAAAAATGAAAAAAATACATAAATTTTGCAAAAAGAAAAAACATGCAGACACATGTATAATATCATATAATTATCATATTAAAAAAAGTGAGTGTGACATATCAAAATTATTTTTACACACAGAAATACAAAAAAAAAAACACATCTATGATTCTATATTTGCACTACTATTAAAAATATGAATAAGACTATGGAATTTTCTTTTGACTAAAATGCTCATTTTTGGATTTAGTCCCTATTTAATTGTGACGTTTAAATTGTAAATTAAACAATTACTATTCATATAATTCCCTTCTATTTAAATCTTACATTTTTTTTGATAAATGAAGAAAAAAATATACACCAAAAAGATAAAGCATTACAAACTTCACAAACCAAGGGTAAGCACATTTACCTAGGTAAATGACTTCTCGAAAAATGAGCATGGCCTAAATTGTAAATATGTAAAGTTGGATCATGGACTAATAATGGACATGTGATATTATTTAGGTTGCTTATGGATCATGTTCTGTTTTCTTTGAGATTGAATGACTATATGAATTGAAAATACGGAATGTTTATCTTTTGAAAAACATATCTTATGGATAGACATTGGAACCACTAAGTAGGGGTGAGCATAATTCAGTTAAAACTGAAAAATTCAGTTTTGTTTTGTTTTGGTTAATTCGGTTCGATTAATTCGATTTTTGAATATTTGATTTCGACTTCGGTTTTTAGAATTAGAAATTTGATTAACTGAATAAATCAAATTAACCGAACTTTGGTATATAATATGTAATATATAATATAATATGTAACACATAATGCATAATATATTATATTATTTATATATTAAAATATAATATAATGGAATTTTCTTTCATAATACATATTATATATATATTATGTTATAATATATATAACATAGTATATATTATTAAAATTTAGTTTTAACTGAAATAATAAAAAACCAAATAAAAATTTTGGTTTCGATTATTTTGGCTTTTCTATAATTCAGTTTTAGTTCAATTTTTATTTTTTAAATTTGATTTAAAACATTTCAATTTATTCGGTTCATTTTTTAACTGAATAAATCAAATGCTCACTCCTATGCTAAAGCTAAAATTGACCTTACAACTAATCTTGATAGGCCAGGCTGAGGTTCCAACTTCCAAATAAGCTAGTTTGAGAAACAAAGCTGTGTTTAGTTGCAATGTAAATAGATTTGCACTGATGCAAAACTATGGCAGTGCAATTGATTTAAGTGTAAATTTTGACCTATTTTTGTTTCAAATTTTAGTTTATTTGGTTTGATTGAAGTACAAATGAAATAATTAAGATATAAAACAGAATAAAATAAAACCTAAAAGAAAATTAAATGAGAATTTGCATTCCCATGCATTTATAGTAGTGCAAATAAAATTGCACTTCAACCAAACACAGCCAAACAGATTTTTAACTTTTTTTTTCCACTTTTCTTGATGAGTAGAAGCAAACGGACTAATGCCTGAGTGTGAATGTTTCTTTGCGTTGTTATGCTTTTTACGGGGAAGGAAATGGAGGCATGAGAGGGATTTTTCATTTTTCTTTAACGTAACAGAAAAAAAAAAAAAAAAAAAATATATATATATATATATTTTCCGGCGGTAGAAGCGATCAAATGACCAAACTACCCTCTATCCCCAATCAAAAACAGAAATTTCTCCTCCAGGCTCCAAGCCTCCAACTTTGTACCACCTCCCCTTGGATACAGAGTATGGCAACAATTCACTACTGCGGCTTTCGTCGCCTGAACACGCGGCCATGGCTTCTGACAGTCTCTTCTTCTTCTTCTTCTTCTTCTTCCCCGTCACTCGCTCCTTTTGCTTCTCATTATCTACATTCCTCTTCGCTTGACGAGTCAGAAGGTCAGCAATCTCCTCCTCTTCCTACCACGACCACTACTTCTACTACTACAAGAAAACCGCCACATCAGTCTCAACCGTTCTTTCCAAAGCGAGGTCAGACGCTGGAGCTGGTCTGCGAATCTCTAGCCTTCAAAGGCAGGGGCGTATGCAAAGTCGCTGACACAGGCTTCGTCCTAATGTGCGATCGAGCTCTCCCCGGCGAACGCTTTATCGGCCGCGTTACCCGCAAAAAGGATAACTACGCTGAGGTGCGTACATTGCTTCCGGTAAACTCTTCCTGTAATATGGGCCTTAACAATTCAGGATTGTTGTCATGTATGTACCAGGTACAAAAGATAGAGACGATTTCTCCACATTGGGACTTTGTTACTGCTCCATGCGAGTACGCTTCAGATTGTGGAGGTTGTAAAACACAGAACCTATTGTATGAAGCTCAGGTTAGAGCGAAAGAACAACAAGTTCACGAGTTGATGATACATGTGGGCAAGTTTTCCGATAAGGACCCAGAATTTGCTGCCTTCATGAAGCCTATTGTTCCGTGCGATATTCAATTTCATTACCGAAATAAGGTGTGTGCTACTCTTCGTCTTCGACCTTGTTGGACATTATCACTTCATAACTTGAAACCAAAACCATGGAGTATTTAACATTTGAAAATTTTGTTTTATTCTGAAGCATGTATCTTTGTTGAGAATTATAATATAAAGATGCTAATCAATCCTGGCTTATTGAATCTATTGTTTAGTTACCAACTTTCTAAATCCCAAGGGTGAAAAACTGACTAACGAAATGTAATATGTAGTATTAGTCTTTTAAAAAAGGTGAAAGGTAACTGTTGCATCCTAAAGAGTCTATGTGTACCATGTAAAAATACACCATATGCTTTATACGAATATAAACTGGAAAAAAAAGGTGGAACAAACTTGGAAAAAGAAGTCCTTTGCTAGTACTGACCATCCATTGTAGTTGGGCATCACTAATTCAATCTTATATTCGTGACTTATAATTGAAATGAGATAATTCAGCTTTGCTTTTTGAGAGACTCAATTGTTGGGATTAAGGTCGAGTTGAGTTGAGTTCTAGATAAAATAACATTTTAGAATTGAAAATAGAACTTTCTTTTATTTGTTTAGCATTGATAAGGGTAGAGGAAATTTGTTCATATTTAGTATCATTTTTTCCATACGCTTCAGAAATCAGGATAGGTTTGATACCCACATTCCAGGAACCCATGTTATTCTTCCCCAAACCCTAACTTACATAGGTCTGGATTTCTCTAAAATTCTTCAACCTATTAACTTCCTAGTTAAAGTGGCATTTGCATGTCTGAGACAACCTAAGCATGGCTACTGAAGTTGATTGCTGTCCAATAATAACAAGTTCATTTAGAACAGGTAAGCTCAGCCTTGTTACTAATGACATTCTTAATTATTACAGTTCAGAAAATATGCTTTACCTGAATGCATAATATTCTTATGTCAGACATTCCTTCCTTTTCACCTAATGATGCATATTCTAAACTACTTAACTAGAGATGCAGATGGAGTTTTCATTTAGTAGTCAAAAGTGGCTACCTAGAGAGGCACTTCATGGGGAACGGGATGGTTCAAATGGTTATGCATTGGGGCTGCATGCTCCAGGATTTTTTGACAAGGTCCTCAATGTTGAGAAGTGCTTATTACAAAGTGAGTCTGCAAATAAGGTATGTTGCTTCATCATTCCAAAAACTGGATATATGCAGCGGGTATTGCAAATTTATAGCTCCCTCATCTAGTAAAATAAGAAGTGCCGTTTTTTTCCACTGTTTTAAGGTAGACCTTAACCTTACTGTTCTCAGTGTTCCTCACAACCTAAAATCCCATTTCTCAATGGATATAAGCTACAAATGCAGAAGAATAGAAGGAATAATATATCCGTGGTCCAATTACCCAGTTCTTTTATGAGCATTTTATTTACATGATATGTTTTGCCTTTTTTGCTAATGATGTGAGTTATGTTTATAAATTACAATTATAGGTTCTCCAAGTGGTTCAAGATGGTTGGAGAGATCCACAGCTAGGGCTTTCTCCATATGATACTCATACTCATGCTGGATTTCTGAAGCATCTAATGCTAAGAACCGGAAGGTAGAATCTCATTCATCCTGTTTATGTTTCCTTTAGTTATCACATAACAAAAATTGTGATATCAACAGGAACACTCTTATGTCATGACTCATGACACACCCGCCCACTCAAACAATATCCTTTATTTTCATCTGGCTAATTGATGCTAAAACCTGAATAAGTTGTGACATCTGGGAAATGTGGGGGAGAACAAAGACAATGGACAAGGACAAGAAAAAATGTCTGATAATGGAAAGAAATAATTTTTAGAAGATAAGCAATGAAGTGGTTGATTGATTCACCTACATATATGCAGCAAGATTTCAATTTCTATTCATTAATATGGATTCCAGTCTATACCATGATTTTGTTGGGTGACCACCTTCTGTGATTCTGTCCTCTTTATTTAAGTTAAACAGCAAAGTGAAAGAACAGAACTTGAGTTTTTTTTTTTTGGCGTTGCATATATTTACTGTGAAAATTGAGCACATTCTATGTAATATTTTTATGCTCACACAGAGACAATATCGGGCATTTAGAAAAAAATGAAATTGGTATCTGATAACTTTATTTTATAGTAATGTAGTAATGTGCCCTGCTTACTGTTTCTTTTCAAATATCTATAATTATCTTTTAGCCATAATAATCCTGTCAGTTCATGGGCATGAGGCTCTGTTGCTTTATTTCCTATCTTTTAAATACTGTTTTCATTGTGGTGGAAGATTCAATATTTATCCCGATTGGGTTGTAAGTCCACTAGACATTCATAGACAATATTTTTTTTTTTATCCTAGATGCCTCTACGTTATGCATGAAGCACATATTACTGCATTTTAGATCTCATATATTTCTTCTTTCTATATGGTGTTCAGCATTTGTTCCTTTTTTATTGGTTTTTAAGTCATTGAAAGTTTCATTTTAAATGCTTGAGTTCCTCTTTTTTGAGGGTTTTTTATGGCATCATTAAATCTTAATAATAAACCACTAAAATGGATTTCATTTTTGTCTCAGAGATGTAACAACTGGTCTACCAGAGCTGATGGTTAATTTTGTGACTTCATCTTACAAGCCAGAGTTGCTGAAGGTTCTTGTTGAGAAGATCTCAGCTATTCCTGAAGTGGTTTGTATTCTATGCCCTTCATTTTCACTTAGGCTATGTTTGGTTTGAAGGAAAAGGTAGGGAAAAGAAGGGAAAGGTAGAGAAACCTATACAAGGTTTGTAAAGGTTTTCCTAACTTTCCCTTCCTTTCCCTACTTTTTCCTTCAAACCAAACACAGCCTTAAGGTTTCATAAAGAACTAATGGTTTCCTCTTTTTTTTTTTTGAAAGTTGCAAATTTCTGCAAAGAATATTGTCGGCATTGCTTCCATTAGATTTTTGCAGGATAATTTCATGGTTACCTTGAAGGTTCAAGTCAACCTATAGAATGTGTAGTAAGATTATGGATAAATTATTCATTGCTGTTTCTCCAGATCTACTGGTCTTAGGAATGCTGTTGTGGTGAACTTGGTCCTCTTTTTTTCTCAAAGAGGCTGACTGCTATCTTCTTTTAAATAGTGATCCACTGAAATATAATCTCTTTCTTTTGTCCTTCTAAAGTATGTGGCATTAGATGCAATTGTGTCCCATGTATACCTCCAATTTTAACCAAAATTGTTATTGTACTTAAAAGAACAACTGTAGCAATTTTAACAATGTGCAAACAGAATTAAGTTTTTTCCTGGTCAGCAGTAGAATTGTGTATTTGATTTTGTGAACCTTTTTGTTATCGGAATTATAAAATGTGTTACCTAATTAGGTTATTTCTACTGTTCTCTAGCATAATAGAATCTCCTTAACATGATATTTTAGCTACCAGGGTGTGTTTGGGTCGGAGTGGATTTGTATTTGGCAGTGGAATTGGAATTGTGAAAGCTGTGAATCTCTGAATCCCACTGCTTGGATTCACTTCTAGGCATCATGTAATTCACTAGAACCATTTTTTTTTTTGAGAAAAGGAAACTTTCATTAAAGAAGGGAAGGATAGGAAGATCAAACAAAAAGAAACAAAAAGCCTTCCCTAAACATTAAACAGGAAGCTTTATATTGCTGTACAACATCCCTGCCCACCCCAGATTTCGCAAGAGCATCTGCTACTGAATTCAGATTCCTTGGAATCCACCTGAAGACACAATGAATCTGAGATTGAATATCCCTGATTTCATTGATCTGGTGGGAAAATCTCCAAGGACCCTCCTGTTTATTTAGCATCCAGCTCATGACCACCTTTGAATCACTTTCCACCACAACTAAAGGGATGTTCAAGGATTTGACACATCTCAGCCCCGTTAGCAAGGCCTGAATCTCAGCTTCGACTGCTTTTGCCTCTCCAATGGGACCACTGAAGGCCCAAACTTGAGTTCCTAGAGCCGAGAATATTCTGCCACCTATACCTGCCTGACCTCTGTGATTTAAACTTCTGTAGCAACTGCCATCAAACTGGAGGATGAATTCTGTAGGATGTCTGGGGTTCACAGGAGAGGTGAGACCTCTTCCAGAACTTGAATAGCTTGAAGAGCTCAGGACCGGCCCCGAATTCCTTTCTAGGTCTCCCATTGAGATGCTTCTGAACAATCTACTAACCTTCATCCAAGAACTAATTTGAAAGAGCACCCTTCCTTTTAACTCATCGAGGGAAGAGTATTTATCTTCAAATATTCTTTTGTTGTGTTCCTTCCAAATGCACCAGCAAATTGCATGGATGATCGCCTTTCCAAAGAGGGCACCTCTTTTGCCAGAGGTACATCCAGGCCATTGTAAGATAAAGTCAGACACAGTATTTGGAGGGGTCCAATGAAAACTACCTCTATAAAAGGTGTCCAAAAAGAATTGCCATAGACTTCTGGCTACTTCACAGTTAATAAGGAGATGACTACATGACTCCCCATCTTTCTTGCACATAACACAGGCATGAGGGGCAATGTAAAGGTTTCCTTTCCTCTTTCTTAGCATCATATCACAAGTATCGATACTGCCACAATAAGCCTCCCATACAAAGAAGCACACTTTTAGAGGGACAGCAGAAAGCCAAATCTTTCTATGCAAGGAGGGAAAGTTAGTTGTCCCAGAAGTCAGCACACTAAAGAAGGATTTTGTGGAAGACAAGCCATCCGAAGAGGGCCCCCAGATTCTTTTGTCCTGAATCAAGTGGGAGGGGAAGACAACTGAAAGAGAGGACAGAAGGGAAGAGATATCTTGAGTTTCAGGATCTGTTAAGGCTCTCCAGAAGTTAAAATTGAAAGAGAGACCAGTGTCTCCTCTGAGGATAACTGAAGAGACAGAAGCCTGTTTGTCATGGGTGAGACTAAAAAGGAGAGGGTGGGAAAAACAGAGAGGTTGTTGACTTAACCAAAGATCAGTCCAGAACTTGATACTAGAGCCATTGCCCAGTCTAAATCTCAAAAAAGGAGAGAACAGATCAAGAAGGGAAGAGATGCCTTTCCAGGGGCTGCGATGGGAGTATCGAGAAGAGACCAGATTGGAGTCCCGACAATTCCTACTCCTTTCGTACTTGCTTCTAATAACAGTATCCCAGAGAGAAGACTGTTCCAAGGGGAATCTCCACAGCCACTTCCCCAAGAGAGCATAATTTCTTTCCAGAATATGACCTAGCCCCAATCCCCCTTCCTTTTTTTTAACCTTCACATTCCGCATTTTAACATTATCTAAGTGATGCGAAGGGAGTGGTCATTTCATTTTGGCAGAATTAGGCAGGAAAGTAATTCACTTCTAGGCATCATGTAATTCACTAGAACCAGGGTTTTTAGCCTTCACATTCTGCATTTTGACATTATCTAAGTGATGCGAAGGGAGTGGTCATTTCATTTTGGCAGAATTGAGGCAGGAAAGTAATTCAAGTCCAATTGTGCTTCTGGAATCCAAATGCAGCTTTGTACAATAGTCTGAACATAGGGATTCTGGATTATTTCTACATCAACTGTTTTGATTTGGTCTGATTAGCAATACTGCTTACCTAGCTTTGGCTCACATTGCTGGTCATGGAAGGAATTAAATACTATTAGATGTGAGGCCAACTGTGTCTTCAACACAGTTACCTACTAAAAGGGTCAAAAAAGGGCAACTGGTTGCACATTGCTGTTTGTGCTATTTTTTGTTTTGTAAGCCTGTGATCAGTTGTGTCTCCAACACACAACTGGTCACACTTGCCTACCAAAAAGGACAAAAATAGCAAAGAGGGAAACTGAATGACTGGGTACATGACTCAACCCCACCCATATTATAATTTTAGGACCTCATCTATAACCAGACACTTGGATGAACTGTTCCTGTTGGCAACAAGAATATTACTGAACACATGCACTCAAAATTTATGTATCATGTATGCCATACTAGAATAAGTATCTACCATGTTAAGATATTAATAATTTCTTAAGCCTCTTAATGGCCAATCATATATTCATAGCATGTCATGTCTTGTTAGATATTTCATGTTGTTGGGTAATGTTTGAACCATCATTTTCTACACAGTTGGCTGTTATTTGTTGATGACCAATAGGTAAGCATCATAAATAATGTGAATAGATCTATCGGCAACACATCTGCTGGGGAGGAAGAATATGTTTTATATGGTAAATCTACCATCACAGAGACCTTAAGGGGACTTACTTTTCAGATCTCAGCGAACTCTTTCTTCCAGACAAACACACACCAGGTATGCTGTATAGGGAATTGAAGTGCATTACTTTTCATAATCTTGATTTAGCATTTGTCAGATCAGATCCTTTAGACTGTGTTTGGTTTGATAATAAGAGAAATAGAAGGTTGAGTTTAAGTTCTTAAGAAATTTCACAAAATTTGTTAAGAACTTCCCCTCAACTTTCTTTTTTTTCCCTTATTTTCTATCAAACAAAACATAGCCTTAACGTCATGTTATATTGTCTGTGCGTTTATTTATGTGCATGATTTCCAAATTTATTAAATATCGTAGATCCATCTTGTCCAGGCAGAGGTTCTATATAAGATTATAGAAGATTGTGCTGCTATAAGAGGAGATGGCTCCGAAATTGTACTTGACCTCTTTTGTGGAACTGGAACCATTGGTCTGACACTTGCCAGAAGGTAGACTCTCTTCTTTTGGTTCAATTTTTGAATTTTTAGTCTTTGAAAATATGGGATCATGACCTTTACCTTGATTTCTTCCTATCAGGGTCAAACATGTTTATGGCTATGAAGTAGTCAGTCAAGCCATTGCTGATGCTCGTCGAAATGCTGAGCAGAATGGTATACATAATGCTACATTTGTCCAAGGGGATCTCAATAAAATTGGTGACACTTTTGGTGATGGGTTTCCTAAGCCTGACATTGTCATTTCAGGTTATCTTCCTTTTGAATATGCTCTCTCCTATGCCCAGCTTCCTCCTTGATATAATAACTTCCCTAATTTTAGTGCTGCTATTTGGAGAAGGGGGTTTTGTACGGTCTATATTTTTAACTATTTTGGCAAACAAAAAGAGCAGGAAAAAGATATAAATAGAACTTTGAAGGAGGAAAGGAAATTCAAATGAAAAGGAGCTATAACCTGCGTAGGACTGATGAGAAGTTTTACACCTAAGGGCTTTTCTCATTGTGATTCTGATGGGACTTTTATTTAAATTTTATTTTTTTTGTATAGCCAACCCTAAATAGTTGGTATTTGAGATTAGGGCTGTGTTGACTTCAGTCAGTTACTATTATTCAATTAATTTTGATTATTTGAATATCCCCTATAAAGAACCAAAATGCTCTTCTGATAGACCTGTATCTTTAAAACTGTGATTGATCATGAATTAGCAGTATTTTCACTACAAATCAAGACTCTTAGCCTCTTAGACTAAAATTTGTATTTTTTTATGGCTCCAATATTTTTTTTTGATGAAGTTTTTATTGCTCTAATAGAAAAAATGAAAAATGTAGCGATATCTGGTTTAATCATCACTTTATATGACTACACAGAATTTGATGAATTGCATAATTTTTACTCATTGCTCATAAAACTGCTGCAGATCCTAACCGTCCTGGCATGCATATGAAGTTGATTAAATTTCTATTGAAGCTACGAGCACCACGCATTATTTATGTTTCCTGCAATCCTGCTACATGTGCGCGTGACCTTGATTACCTCTGCCATGGTGTGGTATGTGGTGGAATCATAAATATCAGTTTTCTGTTTTTGTGTTTATGGAAATTGACTATTGAAAAGTGCATGCAGGTGGAGCAGAATATAAAAGGTTGTTACAAGCTAAGAAGACTGCAGCCAGTAGACATGTTCCCTCATACACCTCATATTGAATGTGTTTGCTTGCTAGAGCTTGTTTAACTCCTTGTTTTGATCTTTCACTGCCCAGATTGGCAACTTCCTTGTCTCTTATTTCTGAAGCTTTTTTCTCTTTTTGCTATCTTTGATTGTTGTACAACAATCAGTTTATTATCCTCCTTTACTTGTTATGACTCTTAGCAGGAGAATGTGGGTTTAGAAAATGGTGAAGAAAGAAAAAAATAAAAAAAACAAGGAAAAGTTAGGGGGGGAGGGGGTTCTGAGAGGACATGGAGAGTGTTCTTTCTTTTGAGGATTTCCATACGATTACATCTACAAACGTAATGATTTGTACAGGGAACATTTCCGAGTAGAATTGTACAAGGAGTTATTACCAACTTATGTAGTTATGCCTGCAAAATGTAATCTGTAAACAGCGTTGATTAAGAAAGAATGTCTCTGTACTAAGTAAAGAAATCACATTCTCTTATTTATAAATTGTTATGTGCCTTGGGAAAACTCACCCCTAAAAGCTAGGTGTTAGAGGGAGTGAACTCAAAACACATATATATTCCACAACAGCATCCTATACCATCGATGTGGGATACCTCACTCACATTAGTATCCCATATTACCAACATGGGACAAATGGATTGTAATATAAACAGTTTCCATTCTCTCATTGTTTTGTTCTTTTATTTTCTTTATTTCTCTCTCTTTATATATATATATATATATATATATATATATATATATTTGTCTATCGTTGTGTTTTTCAAAGCTGGGAAGACAGTTTTCTTCTACCCTTTTCCTTTTGTAGAGCATTTTAATTATACACTTGTAAGACATTTTGCGGTTATCATGGGTAAGGATTTAATTCGGGCTGGTAGGTTGGGCTGAGGATTAACTCAAGCGAAGATACAAACCTTACCAACCCAAACCCAATCTGGCCCGTTGAGGGGGGAGTAGAAACATGATGACTTCAGCATTCTGCCAGACAGCTTATATGCTAATTTTGATGAAAATTCGGAGAGCCCAAAATATTAAGACCTTTTAAGTAAAGATAAAAAAGAAAAACGTGTAGTCATTCTTGCCTTTTTTGTACAAAATATTAAAGTACCTTCATCTTTCAAATTACTAAAATATATAGTCAGTGGAGAAAAAGAGAATCAGCGATCACATTTTGGACTGCAACATGTATACAAACTATGGTACCAAACAAAAGAAAAGGTTCAAACCATGGTCTATGGGTGATCGAACCGAATTATGTAAATAGGAGATGTGGAACATTAGAAGGGGTAGTGGCTTTAAAGTATGTGTTTGGTTCTGTTTACGTTTTTTTATATTTGTTTGCAAAACCAAAAAAGATAATAATTACAATCGTTTATAAAAAGTAGGTGCCACATCAGCATAACAGTAAAAAAATGCCTGTTTGTGAAAATTGTAAAAAATAACTTCCCCAAACAGCAAATATGCACAAAAACTGAAATCCACTTTTGCCATTTTAGTTGTGTATAAAAGAGTAAGAGAGAAAAACTGCTGAAATGGCACTAAGTGGCCGCGTTTATTGAATAAACACCCACGAAATCAAACACCCGAAAGAATCAACATTCAAAAGAATCGACCTGTCACAATGGGAGGAGAGGCAAAGAGAAAACGGTAGAAGGGCAGACAGAGCACCTACTTTTGCTAATAAAACTGATATAACGTTGATCTCTTATTTACATTTCCTAGTAACAATTCTGATCTCATATGCTCGGTGCTACACTTTCTGTAATTCGTCAAGATGCAGTGAAATTCGTCCTTTTTCGTTTTTATTTCCTATGAAAATTTGTTTCCTCAACATTCAACAAACACGTCCCTAGTGTAAAATGTAAACAGAAGTCAAAGCATCATCCCCTTTATATTCCAGTGAAAATACACTAAAAGGTATTGGTAAGTAAAACCACCGATCATATCATATGCAAGACAGTAGTGATTTCTACTTCACCACAACAAACTCGGCATGGAGGTTGGATATGACAACTGGACACTCTCCCTTCTCATCATAGTCTGCAAACTCTCCCTCTGACAGGTTGATGCCCGTGAATTCAGTTCCCTCTATCTATACAAACGAAAAATATATGCAAGTTAGTTGAATTTGGACATTCATTAGTTCATTACCAAAGAGACTGTCATAACACAAAATATGCTACGAATGATATATCATAGCAAGCAGAATATCACTTTCACTCAAAACATATTTTGCAACCACAAGACTTGAAACAAAATATACTTTATATCAGTTTGATCCACAATGTTTAGCATAGAAACAGTTACTTCACAATTTCAGAACCAAATAACTTAAGAAAATTATAAACAAAGGAACAATATTACCTGATCAAAGATATGAAAAAACAGAGTTCGTAAGACTAGTCATCTAAAGAAGAAACTTAACAAATGTTATGTCTCGAATTAACGATTCTTCAGAGTTTACTAGGGAATGTTTCCAAATTGGAAAGCATTTCCTTACAACCAGCAAGGTCCATGAGAGAGCTTAACCCAACACGTGAGCTTCAACAATCATTTCTCTCTCTCCAAGTAAGATGACCGACCATGAAAGACATGGACAGGGCTGTATTTTTGCAAATACCAATGAGATCATAAATAAGAACTTTTTTAGCCTTTAAAGAACTGTTTTTTATAAAGGGCAATTTTGCATCAATCAAATTTAACCTTCATTTTGTTCATTTTTTTAGTAGTAACTCATCAAAACATTTTCTAAAGAAATTGATGTGAGATTTAGCTATGATACCAAGCTAATGCAGGAAGGGCATGCACAATCAGGGATGGAAAGAGAACACCCCAGGAAGGGCATGCACAATTAGTAGTAACTCATCAAAACATCTTGAAGAATTGGCACAATTAAGAAAATAAGAACTAATCATCATCGTCATCATCCTAGCTTTATCCCAACTATATGGGCTTGGCTACATGATGGATTATTTCACCATTCCATTCTATTTAGTGGCAGAGCATGAGCACAAAAAGACAATTCAAGAAAATAAGAACTAGTCTGCTTAGGAAATCTACTTATGATAAATAATCATAAAAATGTAACTTCTAAAAATCTATGACTATCCCTAACTTCCAAGACATAGAAATTTAGAAAATTCCAGATATGCCTTATTGGTTTCTATATCAGAAAAAAGGCCTGAGTTCTCCAATCTATTTGGAACCCTCTCCCTCTATTTAACTCAACTTAACAGTACTTCAACTAATCTTTTTCCCTTTTTTCTCAGATGCCCCATTTTAGCTAATCTTTATGTTTGAAAGCACTTGGCAAATAAGGAAAAACAGCATTCTCTTGAAGCAAAAATAAAATAGCATCTCTACTGAGCAAAGAACTGTCATGTCTTGCTCCAATAATCTCTCACCATAGAGAAACTGTACTGAAATGATTCAGAACCAATAAGATGTTTTACCTAATAGGAACTATGTCAAATTCTATCCCTGAATCTTCTCAAGCACAATATTACTTCAATTTATTTTGGTTCCAACTTCAGTCTCCACCTGAACCCATCTAAAATAATATGGGAAATCACCACATAGCCTCCAAAACAATAGATGCATTGAACCTCTACAGTAACGTAATTCATATTGCCTCAAAAGCTAGATAGTTTGAAGGACATCAATAATAGAAAAAGACAGAACCAAGGAGAAGTATGGATCACAAAGGAGATCCATATTCTCTAGTTTAGTTCAACAGGAAAGCTATAAAGCATTAGTGCATGCCAAATGAAACACTGAAGATCCTTTCACATATAGGTAGAACCTTCTAATGCATTTATGTTGCTGAGAGATGTAATGACATAAATGCATAATCCACCTTTAATGTGAAAAATATGAGCAAATCTCTTCCTTGCCACAATTTCTGTTGTCAATCATCCCTTCACAATTCCATCTCCCTTAACAATAAATATGTCATTTGTGCCTATGCTTTCCTCAATCAGGCAATTCTTTTTTATTATGGTCTTGCATATATTCCACAAGCACTCACTCAAGATATCTTGTTTACAGGAATATTCAGGAATGAATTCCTTTTAAAAAAAGTATTAGTAATAAAACCTAATAACAGATAAGTTTTATTGATAAATAGAATAAGTATGCATTTACAAAGATGTACAGTCTTTATACACAATATAGCATCTATATAGGAAACAGACCGATGCTGCTCCCCCACAATTTCAGAATGACCCTAAAGTGCCAATATTTATGCTAGGTCATTACCCCACAGGTATTCAACCCACATTAGTCTGTCACCTAACTCCCTACAGGCCAAAGAATCAGAAAAAGATTTTACCGAGGAATCCAGAATAGTTTAGCTTCCAACATAAGAGTTAGGTTTCTTGCTTCCCTAATCTGTTGTCTGATGTTCCATTTCTCCTTTCAACCAAAGAATTATAGTCTTGCAGCCACATAAAGGCTGCAATTTTGGGAGTGTGTTTCCCCCACAGCCAACCAGCTTCAAATGAAGACTTCAATATGCACAGGAAGTACTTAGTTTTGTAAAAAAAGAATATATAAACAAATCAATCATCATAAAAACAAGGAACATATGAAAATTAAATAACTTTAACACCTATAAGTACTTAATGTAAACTAAAGCCTGATGTAAATATGACATTTTGTGCGGTACGTACATATGCATACTTGTGTTGTTTTTTCTCATTTCATTTCATTTCTTTTTTACCAAACACATATGCATGCATGCATAGATATCTGAAACTTAAAATGGAATTTAAATAAGATTTTCTTTAATTTATGATAACTATTCTTCCAATTAATATATGATGCAAATGTTCTTAACCTAAGGCATCTCGAGGTGTAACACAACTGCCTCAATTCTTGCAGGCATAAGCCAGAAGGCAGATCCTCATTCTACAGGATGTTTTCTTTTAGCCTCATCTCAAGGTGAGAGTCACGCATGCCTTCTCAAACACTGGTCTCAACCATCACATATGTCGAGTCTGAATAATTTGAAAACATTAAACAATCATTTCAGAGAATAAGGAGGTGCTATTTTGAGGAAACTTAGCATCCGTAAATGTTTTACCTAGAGAATGCAGAGACTCATAGATGGCAGAATACTATCTACTTTACCGGTATGTGTGATGCTATAAGCTGTGGTTTGAACTTGCATTTAACTCGAATTTATAAACATCATAACGACTGATATTCTGGTATGATCTCATAACTTCACATAAAAATGATACTTATAAAGAAAAACAAACTTTAAACAAAAAAGGACCAAGGTTCTAAGAACAACCATGCACAAGAGAGCTATGAATTTCTGGAAAGAAAACTATGATATTTTATAATTTATACCATAGTAATTTCAGATAAAACAGACTGATTCAACTGAAAGCTGCACGAAGTATCTTGGGATCCAAGATCAAATTCAAATTATAATTGATACTTCATGAAAGCTGAAAAATAATGGTATATAAAAAAGGTTGTCCATAGCACACAGAAACAACATGAAAATGAAATTGACTCTTACCACGTAGATGTCAATAAGCCAATAACTACATTATATGCTGCAAACTGTGGGAAAAGAATGCAAGAATAGCACGATAACTTACGGATTCCGCTTTCCATCCATCTCCAAAAGCAAAATCCACAGGCTCAAGACCCCTGCATTCAAACACCATAAGTGGAGTCTGTTTCCCAGCTTGAGAAACTTCGGTCGTCAATGGACGGCCACGACCCGTAATCATCAGCACAGTTCCCTCCCTTCCACAAAATTTACACTGGAGAAAGAGAAATCTAGAAAGTATAAGCCAAGTGCCAGAAGTTGATTCACCAATAGTAACCTTCTGATCAAAGAAGAAAAACCTAGAAAATGTAAACCAAATAATGTTTTCCCCGACAATAAGAAGAGAAGAGGATAATTAGTTTGGTATTCAGAATGTAAAATCCCTCTAAAGCTCAGACTTGCTGATATAGAATAATTTTGGAGAAAAGGATAGAGTAACCTTCTGAACAAGATTAGTAGTTCCCCTGCCATTGGGGAGAGGAACTGTTTCGCTTAAGCTCACACAAGTCCTTTTCTGGCTCACTTCACCACAGTTTCCGCATTTCAACTGCAAAACGAAGGATAGAAAAGAAGAACCTCGTAAAGTCAACAAACTGTAAACCTCGATTGTAGACAGCACAAAGAAAAGACTACGAAAAGAACACGACATTGAAGAACAAAAATACATATAAGATTAGTAAACCCTAAACATTTTCAAAGCGGCTTGAAAGATCGCAAAGAAGAAAAATGGAAAGAGACAGAGATGGACCCTGAAGTAGTATGTGAAGCTTGGATCATCGCATCCTCCCTGAGGCTGAAGGTTGGTGAGGTTCTCGAGCTCAGCCGTAATGGTTAACATGAAATTCACCATTTTTGGAAAGGCGAAATATTGTTCAAACTTCAGATGAACGATTCTGCAGATAATGGAAAAGAGGAAGAAGAAGAAGAAGGCTGTCACGAATGCGTAGATTTAGAAGTAGTGCCCTTGGGGCGTAAATTAGAGTAGATAGCAATGGATGAGACTTGAGAGGGAAGCTCTTCCCCGCGTTTGTCTTTTCACCCTCCATATGCCACGTAACCAACCAAGCAATGGAATGGAATCGACTATCGAGACGATTCTCTTGCTTCAGTGTAGCCTGGTTCATATTCGTTTCTCGTGGTACGTAATCGTGGTGCGGAATCGTGTCGGGTGAAAGAGGAATGTGACTTGACCCGCCCCAATCGAATCGATGATCCACCAACAAGTGTCCTGGACTACTAGTGTTCCCAATTTCCACTTGCCATCACAGACGGAGATGCTCCCAAATTATGGTAGGATGTGCGTTTGAGGCGTGTGTGAGGCGCCCTATGTGAGGAGGAGATCCGGTCTCTTTCAAAGCCATCGATACAGGCGTGGGGCCCACGTAGACTGGCACATTCTCCTGTACGGTGACGGGGGGCTGGTCAAACCAGAATTCGAATGCGGATGCTTGAGCACCGTAGATCATGGGCACTTAAGTGTGCCGTGTCGTAAATTAACCGTCGGATTGGTGCCCAACAAGGATTTAGCATTTAGGGCAAAAAAGAGAAGCGGCCTTGTCATCGGTTTCCAAACGTTCTAATTCTCTCTTCTCTCTCTCTGACGAACAGTGCGCCGCCTGCTTTCCCAGAACTTGGGAGCCAATGTCAGACGACGCCACGCCGCCGATTCATGAAATGGCCGCCGCAACACTAACAGACAACTCTGGTTGTCGGGTGCAGTGGGCCCAGTTCTCGCGTCGCGTCTTGATTCGCACCATAGTGTGCCGCCCCGACGGCGGGGTGGGACTTGCCGGCCAGAAGGTGGCCGTCGGCGGCTGGGTCAAGACAGGGCGAGAGCAAGGCAAGGGAACCTTCGCCTTTCTCGAACTCAACGATGGTTCTTGCCCTGCCAACCTACAGGTCATAGTTGACGCCTCCGTCGCTCCTCTCGTACAGCTCGTCCCTACCGGTACGTGCGTATTTGTTGAGGGTGAGCTGAAGAAACCCCCCGAAGGGACTAAGCAGAATGTCGAGCTTCGGGTGGAGAAGGTCATCGACGTTGGTTCCGTTGATCCTGCCAAGTACCCGTTACCGAAGACTAAACTCACACTTGAGTTTCTCAGAGATTTTGTGCATCTTCGACCAAGAACCAATACGGTAATCTTTCATTCATTTTTCTCTCTCTCTACTTGCTCTCCATTGTTTTTCTTCCCTCACAATATCATTTTGGAAAATTGGCATGCTACACCTAAAACCATGAATTATTAGTGCATAATACTCTGGTGAAAACATTCATAAAGACAATAGTTTCCCCTAAACTGGTCTTGGCAGTTCACAGAAAATTCTTCGCTCTCCTCTTTCCCAGACTATTGTTTCAACAAGAAACTAATTTATGATGGAAAACTTGAAACTTGGTAAACCTGCATATTTTGTAGTTGATCCATTTTTAGTCAATTCTGTTGGTAAAGTTCTAGAGGCTGTCTTACTCAACTGTTCGACTGGCTAACTGATAAAGAACTGCACAAGAAACATTTTACGAGGGAATTGTGTTAAGATATTGATGCAATCTCATGATAAGTAAATGAATATTACAATTATGCAAGAAAAGAAGGGTATCGAACATTTGGTTTACGCTCTAAACCAAATGACAGCCTTTGTTAAAGAAGAGTGCAAGCTTGACTATTAGATGTGACCCTTGATTTTGGCAACTTCAATCAATTAACCATTGATTGGAAGAAAACTTAAAAGGACTCCTTCACTGCCTTCTTTTATGTAATGATTTTTTTTTTCTATTTTATATACCAATCATCTAATCATATTCATCACAATTATTTAAAGCAACATAATGAATATAACATGCAAACAGATTCTATATATTTCAAATAATAAAATATATAAACAAACAAATAAAGCTTTAAAATAATTTTGTGGTTCACTAGTTTTTTTGATGAATAATAATAAGTTTATTGATTCAGAAGCAACTTTAGAGTGAGTTCATACATCATTCAACCAACTAAATTTCTTCATTTCATTTTTGTATCGCCACATAGCCTCTTCAGAATTTTTTAACCAACCCACCACCACTTTGGAATCTCCCTCGATTATTAG